AGAATGTCAGAGTAAGCCAATCAGAGGCAGAGGAGGGCGGGACATGACTTCACCGTCCTGGACCGCGGAGGGAGTCCCGACCAGCAGCAGGCGGGAGCGTGTTCCCGCCGCGGGGTGTTCCCGCCGCGGGCTCCTCCAGCAGCGGCCGGAGGGTCGTCCTCCATGTTTAACTCAACCGTTTTACAGACTCCGCGGAAGGAACTCGACGTCCGTTTCCCCGCGGAATGTTTCCGCATCGTCATGTAGTCCGCGCGGTTACACACCTCCGCGGGGTTTCTGTTCCGCAGCTCCAGGCTGATCCTCTTCTTCATCTCCATGCTGGAGGCCGAAGCTCGGGCGGAGAAAACAACGAAAACAAAGCGGAACAAAGAAAAAGTGAAAACAAAAGCCGGTTGAGTGAAGCGCGCGCTCACGGTGCTTCCTCCTCCAGTCGGTGTCACACACTAACTAAACCTCCATGTTCGCTCGCGCCCGACCTCCACTGGGAGACCACGCCCCCTCCCGATAAATATTCATACAGTTCCAGGTTCTGGTCTCCCATTGGTCCGGCGAGGAGCCACTCACTGAATCCCGCCCCCAGCATCTCGTTATGCAAGACTCTCCTCTGTGATTGGTTGAAAGTCCAAAGGCGTTGTCCAATCAGAGGACGGACACGAAACATTTAAACTGTACGTCCGCCCTCTCTTTGTCCTCATTGGCGCCATATTGTCCTGAGAACAAAAACAACAATTTAATGTATGAAAATTATATTTCATTTGTTTTCATGTTTTATTAGATATTTTATAACGTTAATGATAAATTGTATTTCCTGCCAGCTGCTGTTTTACATTGAAAATGACCAGTAGTAATAATTTTATTGTACGTTCTAATAATAATAACTTCTTTCATGAATCACTTAACATGCTTCACAGTAAAACATACTACATACAAACTAGATCCAACAACCTATCAATCTTATCTCACCTGCACAGTTAGCTTCTTTTCTGTTTTATTCTGAAAATAAATAAAATCAAAAAATGTAACTAGACTACTGTCAGAGACATTAAAAACATCACATTTTATCACAAAAAATTGACGTGGCGGTGTGTTCAGGAGCCACTGTTGTTTTAAACTCCACTGACAGGACTGATGAGCTGGGATTATTAATCAATTCATTGATTTGTTGATTAGTGGATTTTTGTGAATGTGAATATTTGCTTCTTTTCTTAGTAAACTTTATATTTTGGGGTTTTGGATATTTGAAGACCTCGACTGTGGAAAGTTTATAACATTAGAATTATAATCAGCAGATTATTAATGAAGATAATCTGTAGTTGCTTCCCTGCACGATGAAACAACACACACACACAGTTGTTTCTCAGCAAACACCTACTTACTCATACTTAGACATATTACACATTTTATTTTATACACACTCCTCATACATCATATACATTTATATATATCTATGTACTTTCTTACACACACATTGTTAGGATTATATTAAACCTGTCCTGTATCCTTACAGCCTGTATTACCTTTAAATTACTCGTGCTGTACATTTTTGTTCTATTTATTTCTACACTGTGTTTCTTCCTCCTGTTGTGATTAATAACTTCATAATTTAACCTAAATAAACTTAATGTTATTAATGTATGTATAAGCATTGGTAATAGTAATAGTACTGTAGCAGTAGTAGTATTATGTGCTATATTTACTAATACTAATACATTAATAGTTGTACTATTATATATATATGTATATATAGTATAATAGTATGTATATATAGTATAATATCCACAGAAAAATTAACTGGCTAGTTTCATCATCGATTATTGTAAAACATTCTTAGTGTTCGTAAGATGAAAATAATAATATAAAATAATTTGCTTTAGTGTAAGAAAACTGAGTAAATTCAACTAAAGTGGTAACATTTGCAAAAAGATTAATTTAAGTTCTGACTTTATAATAACTATAGATAAATATAACAGATACATTCTGTTAACACATTTTAAAGCCTGTTTATGATGTAATTTACTCACTAGTTGAATTAACTGAATGTAATTGGTAAAATTAACTTTACCTAATACATACTTTAGTTACTTCTACTTAATCAGATATTTTTTATATAACTTAAACAGTTGAACCAACTCATCGTATTTTACAGTGAAAGATATAAAGTGCTTCAGTCGTTACAGATGAAGTGAATAAATAAAGATTAAGTTCATTAATAGTATTTTTTATTTTTTTTTATATATTTTATAAATAAAAACACAAAAGAAGTTTTTTATGCGAAAAGTTTAATTTTGAATAACAGCAGATATTGCAGTTATAGACCTTTTCCATATAAAAGCATTAAAATATACATTGTGGTAAAAAAGCTGAGAGAGAAAAAAACAACAACCTGAATAAATAATCTGAATCGCCGAGTAAACAGGATATGATGTCATCAAGAACAGGAAGTGAATCTTTGGCAAATAATCAATAAAAAATAAATAATCAATAAAGGAACAAACAAAGGAAAATGTAACAGCTGATTTTTGGCAGGTAAAGTTGAGTAAAGTAAAGTTAAGGTCAGTTCACTCAAACTGAATGCAGCATTAAAGGGAGAACTGGACTTTGTTCAATTTAACTCATAAACTTCTGTCTGAAAACAGTCCAGAAATGTTCATTCATATTCATTTAATTTTTTCATAATTAAGATCAGATGATTTGTGTGAACTGACCCTTAAATGTGGTATCAGGAGGGATGAGATGCTGTGATTGGCTGATTGTCTAAAGCCTTTCTGAACCGACCAATGAGCTCTGTGGAGGACGACGGGGGGATGCCTTCTCTGCTGTCATTGGCTGTCCTGTTAGCTAAGCTCCGCCCACCGTCACACACAGAGTTGCCACAGCCCGTCAGAGGGAGTGTTCTCGCGGCGGCAGCGCGTGCAGCACCTGGTCGAGCAGCTGCAGCGCTCGGTGCAGGTGGACCTCCAGCCAGCAGGGGGTGTCCTTGATGCTCTGACGCAGGTAGTCGCACCCCCAACCTTTAACGAAGCTCAGACGCACGATGCACAACCTGCGCAGGTCGTCCACACCCAGACCGGCTGCCGAACACACACCTGGACAGGAAGTTACAACTTCACTCAAAGTTTCAAAACTTAAAAAAAAGCAGCAAAAAATCATTGATTGTTGGCTAACATTCAACCACTGACGTTAGCATGGCGTGATTTTAGCCAACAATAAATAATGTAACGGTACGAAGCAAAGGTGTATAGCTAACGGTTTTGCTACATTAGCTACCCAGCAATTTGTCTACCTTAGCAAGCAAGCTAACCTTAGCTAAGTCATTTTTGTTTTTGTTAGCGATAACGTTAGTTAGCAAGCAAGCGAAACAAGGTTAGCCAGCCAGCTGCAACCTAGCAATGCTGAATAACATTAACCGGCGCCATCCGCCCCGTAGTGCCAGATAACGTTATTGTCAGTGTAAATACTCAGTCTGTCCAGCAGGTGGCACTGCTCGCTGACAGAAAGAGAGAGAGACAGGTACCCAGAGAGAGAGACATGTAATACTCACTGACAGCAGGGGCAATTCCCCCCACACTGTTCGGCCCCGGAATCGCACCGACAACTGCCGCCGCCTGAGTCATTACCGCCGCCTGAGCCGCCGCCGCCTGCTGCTGCATCTGTCTGTGACACTGCCTCAGGTCAAACACCTGTACAGACAGACAGTCTTCAGGTTCTTCACATGTAGAGATCGTACAGTACGTTATGTCTTTATTGGTGTACATTTTCACCAACAGGGAACCGGATCTACGCCAAGAAACTGGTTATTAATCGTTAGCTAGTTAGTTACATCTGATAGCTAATGTTAACAAAACGCTAGATAATTAGTTAGGTAATGATATACCTAACTATATATAAGCTAGCTAGTTAGCTAGCATTTTGCTAACATTAGCTAACTTAAGATGTGACTATATATGTGGTCTTTTTGACATAGATTAGCCTAGCATATAGCATATCTAAGTACAGGTAAGGAGGAAGTATTATTGTAACATTTTAGGATTGTTTACAGTCTGTGTCAGTGTGTCCTTCAGAGAGGGACAGACGGACAGACAGACAGCAAAGTGTCATCTGCATATCGACTCACCTTGATATACGCTCCGGGGTAGATCTTATGAACTCCGTCTCCCGGCGCTCGGCCTGCCTCGCGGTCCAGATACAAACTCTGGACGAACACTGAGTGGTCGCTAAGGCAACGCATCCAGATGTCCCCCTCCCCCCGACACTCCAGCTGAACCCCCCGACCAATGTGAAGTCTGCAGAAGAAGAATAAAGGACTCAGTAACTGTACAAAGGAGACAATAACAGAAACTGTAGTGTTTCCACTCATAGTGAGTCGCAATGTTGGAACCTATTTCTCTCTGAATGGGACCGTAATGTCCTAAATGGACATCATGCTGTATGAAAGAAGATTGGTTACCTTGCGCGGTGGCTGGCAGCAGTGCGGTGGACATTACTCAGCTGTCCCAAACAGAATCTGTCTCCTCCTGAAGGATCCACATAACCGTCCACCGTCACCAGAGGACAGTTGGACTGGACCTTAAACATCTCCCCGACCTGAACATCCAACTCAAAGTACGAGATAGAACACCAGAACTCTGGACCTGGAGACAGAGAGACAGTGAGACAGTCAGAGAGACAGTTAGACAGTGATGTTATTGTTATTGACGTTATTTTAAAGGACAGCTTTGGACAGATTGGTTACCTGGGTGGTTAGACACTGGCTGGGGATATGGAGCAGTACTGTGATGCTGTGACCCTGCAGGAACAAACACTGAGACTCAGTACGACTGCACAGTACCACAGTAAAGTACTACTTCTGCACAGTACTACGGTAAAGTACTACTGTAAAGTACTCAAGTACTACTACAGTAAAGTACTACTACTGTAAAGTACTGCAGTAAAGTACTAAAGTACTACAGTAAAGTACTACAGTAAAGAACTACTACTAAAGTACTACAGTAAAGTACTAAAGTACTACAGTAAAGTACTACTACAGTAAAGTACTTTACAGTAAAGTGCTACTACTGTAAAGTACTACAGTAAAGAACTACTACAGTAAAGTACTACTAGAAAGTACTACAGTAAAGTACTACAGTAAAGTATTACAGTAAAGTACTACAGTAAAGTACTACTACAGTAAAGTATTACAGTAAAGTACTACAGTAAAGTACTACTACAGTAAAGTACCACTACAGTAAGTACTACAGTAAAGCATTACAGTACTACTACAGTAAAGTATTACAGTAA